TATTGGCATCAGTATTGTAATTCGGAGGGCCATGGGGGGCCACGGCTGCGCCCCAGTCCAACAAGGCTCCAAAGGGGGTGGACTATTTTTTTTATTTCCTTCATTTTCTTTTTCGTTTTCCCGCCCAAAAAAAATACCTGAGTTGGGTTGTCGACTACTATTGTTTGTTTGTGGGGTTGTCCTCCGGTCCCCCTTTTAGATGGTATCAGGGCACTCGATTTTTGTAAAATGTTCTGGAGACCGAGGGGTGGCACATTTTTGGGTGAAAAAAAGTACAGGGAAAAAAAACGACACACCCTTTTGACAGGAGGTCGCTACATTTTTTGGGTGGGGCAAATTGCATGTCCCCCTTTTTTTTTCCCCGTTATCCCTGCTTACAGATCCCCAAGCATAATATTTGCAAAATTCCCTTTGGTTTAGAAAATTGTTGGGAGGTGTGTTTTCAAATTTCTGCAGGTTTTTGGGACCACTATAAATTTCAGTATCCAAACCAGGGCCACCCCGCCTGGATTTTCCCTCTTTTTCCCCGTAGAGGAAAAGGGGGGGACTCCTCTCCACACTGTACTGTGGGCCACGGTCTTGTGCAAAGATGGTTGTTACTTACGTTTTTTTGGGGGTTTGGGGGAGTGTCCCCCGGGGAGTCGGGGTGGGGAGTAAGGCTGGGTCGGGTCACATGGGTGGGGGGGTGGGGCTGGGTTGGGGGCAGCGGCTGGGCCTGGGCCCGCACTGTGGGTATTAGGGTATACTGGGGGGGCCGGGGCCCGCCCCACACGTGGGTAGGGGGGGGGGTATGCCTGGGGGGGGCCTGGGCCCCGCACCCAGCACTGTGGGTATTTGTGCTATGACTGGGGGGGTGGGTCTGTTAGTTAGTTATCCGGGTTAATTTACAGCAAGTTACGTAAAGACCATTGTTAAAACCGATATTTTTAAATTTAAACTCATTTAAAACTTATTATAATTACTTGCTTACTAACGAATTTACTTGTTCACCTTGCTACTTTTTTTTTACTTAATTTTTTAATAGTTTTCTTGTTGTTTGTGTTCTTGTTTCCTGCTTTAACACTTGCTTGCTTTTTTACTTTCCGCTTATCACTTTCTTGCTTTTTTACTTTTCCCGCTTTATCACTTTGCTTTCCCTTTCTTATTTTCCCATTGATGTGTTTGTTTTTGCTATTATTATAAAGGGACTAAAGGTAGTGCCTAGGCCCCCCCCTCTTTTTCATCTACTCAATAATCTCCCCCCAAAGCATCCCCAAATCCTTACACCAGTTTTATTCGAGATGACACTATTTTTACCCCATTCACACCCGCTGTGTTGGAAACACTGAAAAAGAACTGCTAAGATAATGCTTGGATGAAACCAACAAACCGCCCAATAGACAAAACATACTTAAGGGTGTTTGGCAACAACCTCAAATTTAACTCAACTACTGTTAAAAAGGGTTCCCCTATACAAGACAAACCGGAGGCAAATTTTTAGGTTTTTTCCCTGACTTAATTTTTAAATTTCAAATCCCATACCCATCACTAGCCCCAAAAAAATTTCCAAATAGTAGGAAAGTTTTCCAAAAACCTACTATGTACCAAAACGACCTCCACCCTGTACCACTCCTAATACTAAACCTTACCCACCTAAATTTGTGCCTGGGGCTCAACCACCCTTTGACCCTTAATAATCCAAAAAAAGCGCTGTGCGGGGATAACCATCCCTTTCTAGACAGCCACCCCCACTTTCTTTTCAAAAGACTCAAATTGCTAAAAATACAAGACATACACCTTATTATTGTGCCTACTACATAACAGAACTTTAACTCAAATGTAAACCCTCCCCTAAAAATACCCCGACAGTTTCAACGAATGCACATCCCAATACAAGGCATAAGGCACTTTTCAACATCCCTCGAGTAAGACTCTCACTATGCAAGAATGCATGCACATAAAAAACCCGAAGCCTGGGAAATTGCTACCGGAACAGGGCAAGGATCCCCAACAGCTTATAAATTTGGACTCTGCTAAAAAAACACTTTTCTCCAAAAAATTTAAATAAACAACCAAACATCTACGACTAGTTTTATCATTGACCACCTGGCTTTTAATTTTGCCATTCCCTAAAATATTCCACCGCACCTTCCCTTGAAATTGTTTTGTACTAATATACTAAGTTTATTAAAGTCCTATAAGATTGTAAAAACCCCTAACCACTATTCCATGTTTAGTTTAAGTTTAAAAAACTATGTACATTCTCTTATTATTTTAATTAGTTACTATGTATTAGGATTAGTTTCCCGAAATCCTCGCATGATTGTGGCTATCTTTGTACTTAGCAAATCAAAATTGTAATTACACATTGTAACCTTTACAAAGAATTAAACTTATTATTATTATTTATCTTGCGTGGCTAACCCTCCCTATCCCTGGTTATCCTGGGTAGCTAACCTTTCAAGGGCCCCAATAGAAAATAAGTCATTTCGTCCGACTCTTTCTAGGTTATCCTGGGTAATCTACTCATATGCCGCTACGTGTGATAATTCATGTTGTACAAGAATGGTATACAATACCGACAGGATGAAGATTTAGACACGTGTGCAACATCTGGGTATCTTTATTGTAGACGTTTCGCCATCCAGTGGCTTTATCAATACAGATTCTAGGACACAATTTGAATAATTTCATCTTGTCAGTACGTATTGTATACCATTCTTGTACAACTTATCAGACACTGCAACATCATGGAATCTTGGTTCAGAGGACATCTACATGACTTTTTTCAAGGCTACTACAACTTACCCATCCCTTTGGGTATGACCTACTTCCACTGGGGAATCCCGCCTACCAGTGACTATGCCCTCGTCTGCTACATGGCCCCTTTCCACTTGGCGATTAGTATGTAAGCGCCAGCCTCCTTGTCTCTACTCCAGAATCTACACGACTACGGTGCTCTTCACACCAACTCCAAGGCTGAGGGGCTGATTACCTCATCTTTTGTATATAGTTCTACTGTCTTCAAATTATGTCCTAGAATCTGTATTGAAAAAGGCACTGGATGGCAAAATGTCTACAATAAAGATACCCAGATGTTGCACATCATCATACTTTATGTAACTATTTATGTGTACCTGTAACTGAATGAACTTACTTATTCCTACCCCTGGTTATTACCCTAGGTATGGTGGGCAGTACCGATACTTCCTGGAAAGTGCCTCCAACACTGCTAGGATACTCAATACACCAGGATACCTTCAGAATTGGCTGAGCTAAGTTCAGTCAATAATAATAGTGGATGGACAGGAATGCCAGGAGTTGCAAACCTTCAGCAGTCACTCCTGGAACAAAGGGCAGCCTTCACTAATAGTACTTCTGTCATTGAAGGACATGCAAAGTGGGCCTCTGGGACACCAGAGGGCCGCACAGCATGTCCACAGATAATCCACTAACTATTTTACAAAACAACCACCAAAGTTCAAACTAGCACAGAGCTAATAATAACCCACTCCCATCTGTCCTCTGACCAGGAGATGAATTTCACAAATTCAAAATGGGAATTGACACAGTTACTTTTTGCTGATGATACTGTGCTTATGGGAGATTCTAAAGAAAAATTGCAAAGGTTAGTAGATGAGTTTGGGAATGTGTGTAAAGGTAGAAAGTTGAAAGTGAGCATAGAAAAGAGTAAGGTGATGAGGGTATGAAATGATTTAGATAAAGAAAAATTGGATATCAAATTGGGGAGGAGGAGTATGGAAGAAGTGAATGTTTTCAGATACTTGGGAGTTGACGTGTCGGCGGATGGATTTATGAAGGATGAGGTTAATCATAGAATTGATAAGGGAAAAAAGGTGAGTGGTGCGTTGAGGTATATGTGGAGTCAAAAAACGCTATCTATGGAGGCAAAGAAGGGAATGTATGAAAGTATAGTGGTACCAACACTCTTATATGGATGTGAAGCTTGGGTGGTAAATGCAGCAGCAAGGAGATGGTTGGAGGCAGTGGAGATGTCCTGTCTAAGGGCAATGTGTGGTGTAAATATTATGCAGAAAATTCGGAGTGTGGAAATTAGGAGAAGGTGTGGAGTTAATAAAAGCATTAGTCAGAGGGCAGAAGAGGGGTTGTTGAGGTGGTTTGGTCATTTAGAGAGAATGGATCAAAGTAGAATGACATGGAAAGCATATAAATCTATAGGGGAAGGAAGGAGGGGTAGGGGTCGTCCTCGAAAGGGTTGGAGAGAGGGGGTAAAGGAGGTTTTGTGGGCGAGGGGCTTGGACTTCCAGCAAGCGTGCGTGAGCGTGTTAGATAGGAGTGAATGGAGACGAATGATACTTGGGACCTGACAATCTGTTGGAGTGTGAGCAGGGTAATATTTAGTGAAGGGATTCAGGGAAACCGTTTATTTTCATATAGTCGGACTTGAGTCCTGGAAATGGGAAGTACAATGCCTGCACTTTAAAGGAGGGGTTTGGGATATTGGCAGTTTGGAGGGATATGTTGTGTATCTTTATACGTATATGCTTCTAAACTGTTGTATTCTGAGCACCTCTGCAAAAACATTGATAATGTGTGAGTGTGGTGAAAGTGTTGAGTGATGATGAAAGCATTTTCTTTTTGGGGATTTTCTTTCTTTTTTGGGTCACCCTGCCTCGGTGGGAGACGGCCGACTTGTTGAGAAAAAAAAAAAAAAAATTCTCCAATGAGATCAAATGGAGAGGGGGAGAAATTTGGGGAGTGGGTAATTACAATCAGTCTAACAAAGGAGACAAGAGATATAATTCCTTAGATAAAGAATCCCTTTGCCAAGCAGAGGGACTGACTACCAATTGTTCCATAATGGGCAAATCTCTAGGAATGAGAGCCATGGTTGCTTGTATTTCCAAAGTAGGACATGCTGTTGACAAATATCTCATGTTTTAAAATAAAATATGTATATGAATTAAGTGTAAGATCAAGAGGCCATCACTGGTGTCAAAAGCACCTCCCTTAAGGGGGAAACAAAATTAAAAAATGAGTAAAATGATGTTTTTTATTAATGTTCTTATCACAACACAATTCCATAAATCTGTACATATGATATATTGTACTGCAAAGTTACACAAATGACAAATAACAACTCTCATAGGGAAGAGCTCTTGATCTAAGGAACTGGAACTATCTTCCCTTTTCTTCGATCAAACCTGATTGCCTCCCATTCTCCTGGCACTGTATGACCTGGTATATACCTTGATAACTGATACTTATAAATTGTTTAAAAAGACACTAGAGCAACACTGGAGTGTATTAGAAAAGGTTTTGGTCCTGGGACCTTCATCACTTCTTTCTACTGTAGGTTATAACTGATTAAGGCCCTGGGATCAAAATGTTTTCTAATACATCTTAGAGTTTGCTAGCATGTCTTTTTAAGCCAATATATGACCTCTATGTATCTACCATAAAATTAAAAATCGCTGAATTTTCCCCTCTCAAGGAAGTTGTCTTGATCCAAGGAACTGGATCTGTTCTCAAATCAATCTTAATTTCCTCTCATTTTCCCCAGGCCATACCTGACCCCTAGGTGTTTAATACCACCCCACCTCCACATGAATGTAAAAATGTGTATTTTCTAAATCCACACATGACTTCCATGTCACCCCACAGCTGCTAAATTCCAAAAGCAGTAGACAGTTCAGACATGACCAACTTTACAGACTCACAGAACCAATGATACAAACCCATGGTAAGCCAGTCCTAGAATTAGGAGGGGTCGGAGTTAGTTAAATTTTAAGGTGTCTGATGAAGCCAATGGGGAGTAAGAAGACTTATCCACTTTTGCATCTTCACGAATATGTAGACTTCTTATCAAGACTGATGGATTGAACGCATCGACTCCAGACTGAGGGACTGATTACCTCAAACTACTACTCCTCATCTTCCATCATTTCTATGCATTGGACTGAAGAAGCAACTGGCTAGTGAAATGTTTCCAAAATATAGATACCCAAGTGATGCAAAAGTGTCCAATTTATCAACTTGTTGGTTTTCTAGACCATTTATTCAAATACTAACTCCACTTGTGTGGGCCAAGTCAATTATGTAGTTTAAATGTAAGAGTCCACAGCCTCAAATGTCTCTTGCCACTTGAGCCTGTACTTATCTAATTGTAGTTGCAGGGGTCAAGACTCAGCTCCTGGCCCTGCCTCTTCACTGAATGCTACTAGGTCCTCTCTCTCCCTGCTCTATGAGATTTATCATACCTCATCTTAAAGCTATGTATGGTTTCTGCCTCCACTACTTCGCTTGCCAGACTGTTCCACTTCCTGACCACACTGTGACTGAAGAAATGCTTCCTAACATTCCTGTGGCTCATCTGAGTCTTCAGCTTCCAAGAGTGACCCCTTGTTTCTGTGTCCCCTCTGTGGAACAAATTGTCTCTGTCCACCCTGTCTATTCCACGTAGTATTTTGCATGTTGTTATCATGTCTTCCCTATCCCTCCTGTCCTCCAGTGTTGTCAGGCTGATTTCCCTCAACCTTTCTTCATAGGACTGTTGACTGAGAAAAGTGGTGGTGATGGAGGACTGTACTAACTGGTAGTCAAACGAATAAGCCTCACCCACACTTATTAATCAATAGGAGTCTGCCAATGTACTGGTGTCAGTCGATATCTAATTTTCATGGTATCAGTACCAGTATCAGTGATAATCACCTAATTTTGATATCAGTACTAATTTTAGTATCACGTAATTTTAATGACATCCGTATTGGTATTGGCAAAAAAACTTGTATCATGCCATCCCCAAGAAGCAAATAACTCCTGAGGAATGGTGAGGACTTCCAGCCCTCCTCTTAACACCACACTTAACAATACTGACAAATATATATGACAGGCAATGACATGGCTCACTTAACAGACACCAAATTGGAAAATGTATGTTAAATATAACCCCTCCTAAATGAAGGCATCACTGTACTAATTACAAATTACTTTGCACTGCTAATATTGTGCCACAACTCTAAACTGGAAAGAAGTGACCGAAAAGTTTTTGTACACAAGTATCTTCACATAGTGGTAGAATAATGCAACTGAATACACCTACCATCCGACTTACGACCTGCTCAACTTACAACCGTGTTTTTTATGCCAAATTTCTGGGAAATAAACAACTATTTGTATTGTACACAGTGTTTATCCTAAACCTTACAGTATAAAATACAGTACTAACAACATAAAAAGTAAAGTAAAACATGAAATACCAAAATAAAACAATAAAATAAAGTCATTACAAAAATGTTTTGTTGATATTCAGTAGTAAAGTTCGACTTACGACCATTTCGACTTACGACCGGTTTCTCGGAACCGAACTCGGTCGTAAGTAGGACGGTAGGTGTACAAGGTACCGTATTTCAGGCTTATTAGATGCATTTTTTCCCATAAAATGTCTCCAAAAACCACCCTGCATCCTATAAACTGAAGGTCAGTGACAGGAGCTATAAGTCTGGGGTGTGGGGTGGGCTGTAGCTCTCCCAGTTACGTCCAATGCCGAGCCATTATTTTGACGATACTATATGGTTATACAAAGGAATATAATAGTTGAGTGTACATCCCAAAAGCCCCATGTATGCAGAGCATTTCGGGTAAACTTAAAATTAACTTAAGATTAAGGCTATAACATTAAATGGTCATTAGATGAGTTACAGTGAGTACAAGAGAACTGAGTATATTAATAGGCAATGTTATATGGCTTATAAGCTGCATCTTATAAGCTGAGAAATACAGTAATTAGTGCAGGGTAATATTTCATGAAGGGATTCAGGAAAACTGGTTAATTGGACTTGAGTCCTGGAGGTGGGAAGTACAATGCCTGCACATTAAAGGAGGGATTTGGGATATCTGCTGTTTAGAGTAACATCTAAACTGTCGTAGCTATGCGCCTCTGCAAAGACAGTGATAATGTAAATGATGGTGAAAGTGTTTTTTTTTTTTTTTTTGGGTCACCGTTCCTTGGTGGGAGACGATCAGCATGTTGGAAAAAAAAAATCAGAAAATTTTGACAAATATAACAAGGGCATTGTATTTACTGATGGGAAATGCAAAATTAACTGGTATTATGCAGTCCCTGAGAAATGGGAATTAATCAGGATTTAGCCAAGGGGAGGGTTACTTAACTTTCTTGGATCAAGAGCCTTTTATAAGTATGTAACAAGCATACCACTACAAGCATACCACTACTCCCATTACTACAGAATGATAAAGACAGATAATTGCATTCTCTCTCTTACTCAGTATTCTTATTACTCTAGATGTGCTGAACCTGTGGGAGTTAATCAACAAGTTCATCCTTTAAAAACTTTCTCAAAATACCATTCTGGCAGAAACGTCCAGTCGTGATCATGTCCTAAATATGTACAAGACACAACGTCTCCATTATGCTTTCTCTGAAATTTATAAACGGCTTTTGGATTGTCTACTTGAACACAGCTCTTGACATAGTCCAGGAATGTCTTCACAAAATTCAGCATTATATTTGGCTTCCAGTGATCCTTGGGAAAAAAAATTACCTTTTAATTTTCTGCAGCCCATGAAGAAACTACAGGGTTATATTTATGGGAAAGGGCTAAAACTGTAGGGGTCATACAGTGCCTGGAGAAGTTGAGGTAATCATTTTTAAGCCAAGGGGAGGGTAGCTTCAGTACTTTGGATGAAAAGCCCTTTACCTGCATTAAGTTACCCCCTTCCTACCTTCTCAATGGAAGAAACTGCATTGATTTAAATTTGTTTTCAAAACTGCAAGATCCCATTGTTCAGTAGCACCAACCTGGAACAAGTATTGTCCAGAAGCACCAACCTGGAACAAGTATTGTCCAGAAGCACCAACCTGGAACAAGTATTGTTCAGTAGCACTGAGCTGGAACAAGTATTGTTCAGTAGCACTGAGCTGAAACAAGTGTTGTTCAGTAGCACTAAGTGGGAACAAGAATTGTTCAGTAGCACTGAGCTGGAACATGTATTGTTCAATGGTACTGAGCTAGAACAAGTATTATTCAGTAATACTGAGCTAGAACAAGTATTGTTCAGTAGTATTGACCTAAAACAAGTATTGTTCAGTAGTACTGACCTGGAACAAGTATTGTTCAGTAGTACTGACCTGGAACAAGTATTGTTCAGTAGTATTGACCTGGAACAAGTATTGTTTAGTAGTACTGACCTGGAACAAGTACTGTTCAATAGTACTGAGCTAGAGCAAGTATTGTTCAATAGTACTGACCTGGAACAAGTACTGCTCAGTAGTACTAACCTGGAACAAGTATTGGTCAGTAGTAGTGAACCTGGACAAGAATATGACAAAACTCATACAGGAACATCTGATCTTTTATATTATGCTTCTATTCTTGGGATGACCTTGATGGTGGTGACCCTGATGCTCAAGGGCTCTTGAACCAGGGAACTGAAGCTACCCTCTACTTCCTCAGATCAAACCTGATTTCCTCCCACTCCCAAGTTTTGTATAATACTTATGGGCTTAGAGATATCTAATAATAATAATAATAATAATAATAATATTAATAATCTTTCTTCTTTCAACAAACCGGCTGTATCCCACCGAGGCGGGGTGGCTCAAAAGGAAAAACGAAAGTTTCTCCTTTTACATTTAGTAATACATACAGGAGAAGGGGCATGTCTTACGGAGGAAGAATTCTGTTCCACTTCCCCATGGAGATAAGAGGAAATAAACAAGAACAAGAACTAGAAAGAAAATAGAAGAAAACCAAGAAGGTGTGTATATAAACGTTTGTACATGTATGTGTAGTGTGACCTAAGTGTAAGTAGCAAGACTTGCCTGAAAATCTTGCATGTTTATGAGACAGAAAAAAGGACACCAGCAATCCTACCATCATGTAAAACAATTACAGGCTTTAGTTTTACACTCACTTGGCAGGGTGGTAATACCTCCCTGGGCAGTTGCTGTCTACCAACCTACTACCTAGAATAATAATAATAGAACAAATTAAATTGTTTAATATCTGATCATAAATCTCCTACAACACTTAGGGAATGAGAGTTAATCAGTTTTGATCCAAGGAAGGGAAACATAGCTTGAATTCCTTGGATCAAGAACCCTTCAACATCAGAGTAGCCTCCCCTTGAAGGATATCAATGTTAATGTATATTGTAGTAGTAGTAGTAGTAGTGATTTCGTGTATAGGGCAAGGAGGAATAACATCTTGTAGGAGTGAGGAAGAGCCAGTTGTGAGTGTGGGGGAAGTTCGTGAGGCAGTAGGTAAAATGAAAGGGGGTAAGGCAGCCGGAATTGATGGGATAAAGATAGAAATGTTAAAAGCAGGTGGGGATATAGTTTTGGAGTGGTTGGTGCAATTATTTAATAAATGTATGGAAGAGGGTAAGGTACCTAGGGATTGGCAGAGAGCATGCATAGTTCCTTTGTATAAAGGCAAAGGGGACAAAAGAGAGTGCAAAAATTATAAGGGGATAAGTCTGTTGAGTATACCTGGTAAAGTGTATGGTAGAGTTATTATTGAAAGAATTAAAAGTAAGACGGAGAATAGGATAGCAGATGAACAAGGAGGCTTTAGGAAAGGTAGGGGGTGTGTGGACCAGGTGTTTACAGTGAAACATATAAGTGAACAGTATTTAGATAAGGCTAAAGAGGTCTTTGTGGCATTTATGGATTTGGAAAAGGTGTATGACAGGGTGGATAGGGGGGCAATGTGGCAGATGTTGCAGGTGTATGGTGTAGGAGGTAGGTTACTGAAAGTAGTGAAGAGTTTTTACGAGGATAGTGAGGCTCAAGTTAGAGTACATAGGAAAGAGGGAAATTATTTCCCAGTAAAAGTAGGCCTTAGACAAGGATGTGTGATGTCACCGTGGTTGTTTAATATATTTATAGATGGGGTTGTAAGAGAAGTAAATGCGAGGGTCTTGACAAGAGGCGTGGAGTTAAAAGATAAAGAATCACACATAAAGTGGGAGTTGTCACAGTTGCTCTTTGCTGATGACACTGTGCTCTTGGGAGATTCTGAAGAGAAGTTGCAGAGATTGGTGGATGAATTTGGTAGGGTGTGCAAAAGAAGAAAATTAAAAGTGAATACAGGAAAAAGTAAGGTTATGAGGATAACAAAAATATTAGGTGATGAAAGATTGGATATCAGATTGGAGGGAGAGAGTATGGAGGAGGTGAATGTATTCAGATATTTGGGAGTGGACGTGTCAGCGGATGGGTCTATGAAGGATGAGGTGAATCATAGAATTGATGAGGGGAAAAGGGTGAGTGGTGCACTTAGGAGTCTGTGGAGACAAAGAACTTTGTCCTTGGAGGCAAAGAGGGGAATGTATGAGAGTATAGTTTTACCAACGCTCTTATATGGGTGTGAAGCATGGGTGATGAATGTTGCAGCGAGGAGAAGGCTGGAGGCAGTGGAGATGTCATGTCTGAGGGCATGTGTGGTGTGAATATAATGCAGAGAATTCGTAGTTTTGGAAGTTAGGAGGAGGTGCGGGATTACCAAAACTGTTGTCCGAGGGCTGAGGAAGGGTTGTTGAGGTGGTTCGGACATGTAGAGAGAATGGAGCGAAACAGATGACTTCAAGAGTGTATCAGTCTGTAGTGGAAGGAAGGCGGGGTAGGGGTCGGCCTAGGAAAGGTTGGAGGGAGGGGGTAAAGGAGGTTTTGTGTGCGAGGGGCTTGGACTTCCAGCAGGCGTGCGTGAGCGTGTTTGATAGGAGTGAATGGAGACGAATGGTTTTTAATACTTGACGTGCTGTTGGAGTGTGAGCAAAGTAACATTTATGAAGGGGTTCAGGGAAACCGGCAGGCCGGACTTGAGTCCTGGAGATGGGAAGTACAGTGCGTGCACTCTGAAAGAGGGGTGTTAATGTTGCAGTTTAAAAACTGTAGTGTAAAGCACCCTTCTGGCAAGACAGTGATGGAGTGAATGATGGTGAAAGTTTTTCTTTTTCGGGCCACCCTGCCTTGGTGGGAATCGGCCAGTGTGATAATAAAAATAATAAATAGTAGTAGTAGTACTGCAGCAGCAATAGTTGAATTCAGAGGCATCGTAAGGGAGGGGGGGGCACCCCGGGTGACACCATTTGAGGGGTGACACCATAGAGCCTCTAAAGAAGGTAACACTAATGACCAAAACCATGCTGCAGCAACCTAAGAGAAAAATTCTTTGTTTCTATATAGCCTATTATAGGATTACAGAGTACAAATAGGCCTATACAGGGAAAGTCGTTAATTTTGATGATGTGATGGATGATTTTGCAGGATTGAAAGCAAGGAAATGAAATATCAGATTCTTTGAGATGTTACCTGTGCTCAAGGTTAAATTTTGCAGAATTGAAGGCAAGGAAATGAAATATCAGATTCTTTGAGATGTTACCTGTACTCAAGGTTAAATTTTGCAGGGTTGAAGGCAAGGAAATGAATTATCAGATTCTTTGAGATGTTACCTCTACTCAAGGTTAAATATTGCAGGGTTGAAGGCAAGGAAATGAAATATCAGATTCTTTGAGATGTTACCTGTACTCAAGGTTAAATTTTGCAGGGTTGAAGGCAAGGAAATGAAATATCAGATTCTTTGAGATGTTACCTCTACTCAAGGTTAAATTTTGCAGGGTTGAAGGCAAGGAAATGAAATATCAGATTCTTTGAGATGTTACCTCTACTCAAGGTTAAATTTTGCAGGGTTGAAGGCAAGGAAATGAAATATCAGATTCTTTGAGATGTTACCTGTACTCAAGGTTAAATTTTGCAGGGTTGAAGGCAAGGAAATGAAATATCAGATTCTTTGAGATGTTACCTGTACTCAAGGTTAAATTTTGCAGGGTTGAAGGCAAGGAAATGAAATATCAGATTCTTTGAGATGTTACCAGTACTCAAGGTTAAATCAGAACTTGTGTTTTTCTTTATTTTTCAAGTTTATTTTTTTTCATTGTTGAAGATGAATAAATGTAAGATCTGTTGCTGTACTCAAAGTGGTATTTAAGTTTATATTTCCTCAATATTACTACGATTATATATTTTATCATTAATAAAATTTGGTTTAAGGCCTTTAAACGTTCTCATTGCTAAACATGAGGTCACTGGTACTGCAGCAGTGATGTAACTGGAGTTTACTACTACTATCTCCCCGCCTTTGGATTTCATAGGGGTGACACCAAAGATGCTACCCCGGGTGACACCAAAGTTTCTGCCCCGCGTGACACCAACCCTTGCGATGCCTCTGGTTGAATTGTAGTATTGTAGGAGTACTGTAATAGTATAGTAGTAGTGTTGTAGTAGTATATTAGTATTGTAGTAGTAATAGTACTGCAGTAGTAACAGTAGTATTGTAGTGTTAATAGTAGTATTGTAGTAGTAGTAGTATTGCAGTAGTAATAGATGAACTGTAGTTGTATTGTAAAAGTATAGTAGTGTTGTACTAGTACTATATTAGTACAGTGGACCCCCACATAACGATATTAATCCGTTCCTGAGCGCTCATTGTTATGCGAAATTATCGTTATGCGAATGAATTTTCCCCATAAGAAATAATGGAAATCAAATTAATCCATGCAAGACACCCAAAAGTATGAAAAAAAAAAATTTTACCACATGAAATATACATTTTCTTACACACAAAGAGAAGGATACATACACAATAGTAGAGTAGTACATGCACAATATATATTGTGCATGTACTACTCTACTAAATGAAGAATAAATGACACCTTTATTGAAGATGCAGCAATGACTGATGAGACACTGTGTCCTGGGAGTGCCTTTTCCTCCTGAGTACTGTAGGTCCTGTTTGGCATTTTCTTCCAGAACATGCCTTGTCACACTGTGTATGCCACTACGATTCTTAAATCTCTCAAACCAACCTTTGCTGGCTTTAAATTCACCAATATGAGCACTAGTTCCAGGCATTTATTCCTGTTCTCCTGGGTGTTAGTCGACTGGTGTGGGTTGCATCCTGGGAGACAAGATTAAGGACCCCAATGGAAATAAGTTAGTCTTCGATGACACTGACTTTTTTGGGTTATCCTGGGTGGCTAACCCTCTGGGGTTAATTGTTTCTTGGTATTCTCAATAAGCCACATCAACAACGGTGCTACAGCAGCAGCAGCAGCAGCTGACAGTGCTACAGCAGCAGCAGACAGTGCTACAGCAGCAGCAGACAGTACTACAGCAGCAGCAGCAGCTGACAGTGGTACAGCAGCAGCAGCAGCTGATGGTGCTACAGCAGCAGCAGCAGCTGACAGTGCTACAGCAGCAGCAGCTGACAGTGCTACAGCAGCAGCTGACAGTGCTACAGCAGCAGCAGATGGTGCTACAGCAGCAGCAGATGGTACTACAGAAGCAGCAGCAGCTGACGGTGGTACAGCAGCAGCAGCAGCAGCTGATGGTGCTACAGCAGCAGCAGCAGCAGCAGCTGACAGTGCAGCAGCAGCAGCAAACAGTGCTACAGCAGCAGCAGCAGCAAACAGTGCTACAGCAGCAGCAGCAGCTGACAGTGCTACAGCAGCAGCAGCAGCTGATGGTGGTACAGCAGCAGTAGCAGCTGATGGTGCTACAGCAGCAGCAGCATCAGCAGTTGACCATGGTACCACAGTATTTCAATAATATTTCTCACCCTTTTTACCACAGGGTTGGCACTAGAAGCTTTCTTGGGGCCCATGGTCACTTATTTTGCAGATAAAATCACCAAAAATGCTGTAATAATACGAAATGCTCCGATTGTATGCTTGGATGTTACCGCGGAGGCTGGCTTGTAAATATTGCCACCGGCGGAACATGTGAGGCTGGCACAGGCCTCACATAGACGCATCTCGGATGAATAGCGTTAAGCGAGTTTTTTAGCGCTATGCGAGGCAAAATTTTAGTGATAAAATGTATCGCTATGCGGATTTAACGTTATGTAATGCCAATGGTATGCGGGGGTCCACTGTACTGTAGTAGATTAGTATTGTAATAGTGATTGTAGTAACAGTAGTATTGTAGTAGTAAATGTAGTAACAGTAGTACTTGTACTGTAGTAGTAGTAGTAGTAATACTGTAGTAGTAATACTGTAGTGGTAATATTGTAGCAGTAGTATTGTAGTAGTAGTATTATAATACGCAGAATTAAAAAAATGAATAAAACACACAACAGAAACACTCACACCCAGCTAATATACTCACGATCAATTAAAAATCTCATGATAATACTAACAATAAAAAAGCTCATTGATAACTATAGTGTATAATATGGCACAAACTCACCTGTGCCATGGCTGGCATTTCCTCAACATCAAACATCTTCAGTGTATGGACTATGCCCTCCTTATCCCGGAATCCACACACTACTCGTGGTATACCAACCAACTTCGACTGACTCCACCATTTCAAGAGTTTAAACCTGATCAAATAAAGGAAAAAACGAGAGTAAAGAATATCTGTTGAGTTTAAAATGCAAAATTAAAATTCAAAAAATGGAGGAAGGACCTTATGATGAGTTTAAAAATGACAAGAAATAAAAAACGAGTAAGGATTATTTGATGGTTCATGAAATCACAATAATATGATTGCAAATAAATCACAAAATGAGTGGAGCTCAAGCCCTAAAACTCACAGGCCAGTAAATGTTAAAAAAATAGCTAGTAATTATTTTTGTCAACACACCACATGAATCCCTGAGGCAGGGTGACCTAAAATTTTTAATTTAGTAATTTATACAGGAGAAGGGGCTACCAGTACCTTGCTCCCGGCATTTCAGTCGCCTCTTATGACACGCATGGCTTATGGAGGAAGAATTCTTTTCCACTTCCCCATGGATAAATAAAATTTCTGTCCTACAGGATAATATTTTGTGAAAGGATTCAGGAAAACCAGTTAGCCGGACTTGGGTCCTGGAGGTGGGAAGTACAATGACTGCACTTTAAAGGAGGGGTTCGGGATATTGGCTGTTTGGAGTGACTATAATCTAAACTGTCATGTCTGGGCACCTCTGCAAGGACAGTGTGAATGACAGTGAATGTGTTTCTTTCTTTTCTGGGGTCACCATACCTCAGTGGGAGACGGCTGTCATCCACAATAAACCTTATGTTATGAATCAAACATTTGTACAAGATATAAATGAGACCTTTAGATTAACTTCATAACAATTGTAAGTTAATTAGAAAAAGCTACCCCATTAAAAATAACCTTCTTGCTATTCTTCTACATTATGCAGCTTAATTATATTTCATATTTGCCAGTACAGTAAGGTCTCGAATACCAGAAATGGTATTCTAAAAATGGAATTTTATATAATGACAATCTGGTGTTATTACCATTCATTGTGGTTACACTAACATCCCATATCATAAAAATCTTTGAGAGGGTTCTAAGAAGCAAGATCACCAACCACCTAGATACTCATCAATTACACAACCCAGGGCAACACGGGTTTAGAGCAGGTCGCTCCTGCCTGTTCCAGCTATTGGACCACTAAGACAAGGTCTTGGGTGCTGTAGAGGATAAACAAAATACAGATGTAGTATACACAGACTTTGCAAAAGCTTTCGACAAGTGTGACCATGGTGTAATAGTGCACAAAATGTGTGATAAAGGAATAACAGGAAAAGTTGGTAGATGGATTCATAACTTCCTGACAAACAGAACACAAAGAGTAATAGCAAACAAAGTGAACGCTGAGGCAGCTAAGGTGAAAAGCTCTGTTCCACAAGCATAGCACTCGCTCCCATTCTATTCCTCATCCTCATATCTGACGTAGACAGAGATGTCTTCCTTTGTAGATGACACCCAGATTACTACGACAGTGACCTTCATCGAAGACACCACAAGACTCCAGGCAGACATCAACCAAATGTTTGAATGGCCACTCAAAACAATATGAAGTTCAACGAGGAGAAATTTCAACTACTCAGATATGGGAAACTTGAGGTAATTAAAAATGTATCAGGGTATACAGCAAATTCTAACCATACAATAGTGTGAAAAAGTAATGTGAAAGATCTGGGACTGATAATGTCAGAGAATCTCGCCTTCAAAGACCACAACAATGTATCTACCTCATCTGCTAGGAAAATGATAGAATGGATAATGAGAACTTTCAAAACTAGGGATGCCAAATCCATGATGATTCTCTTCAAATCACTTGTGCTCTCTAGGCTGGAATACTGCTGTACACTAATCACCTCCTTCAAGGCTGGTGACACTGCTGACCTGGAGATTGTACAGAGAACTTTCACAGCACACATAAGTATGATATGGCACCTAAATTACTGGGAATGGTTGAAGGTCCTTGATCTGTATTCGCTGGAACGCAGGCGAGAGAGATACATGATAATATATACTTGGAAGGTCCTGGAGGGATTGGTATCAAACCTGCACACAAAAATTACTCCCTATGAAAGCAAAAGACTTGGCAGGAAATGCAATATTCCCCCGATGAAAAGCAGAGGCACCACGAGTACATTGAGAGACAACACAATCAGTGTCCGGGGCCCAAGACTGTTCAACTGCCTGCCAGCATACACAAGGGGGATTACCAACAGATGCCTAGCTGTCTTTACGAAGGCACTGGACAGGCACCTAAAGTCAGTACCTGACCAACTGGGCTGTGGTTCGTACATCAGTTTGTGTGGCCAGCAGTAACAGCCTGGTTGATCAGACCCTGATCCACCATGAGGCCTGGTCTCAGACTGAGCCCTGGGGGCAATGACCCCTGAAATCCTCTCCAGGTAAACAGCGCATTCTCGTAAATGTTTCTTAGTCTTACTTGTGTAAAGTACGATGATCTGCATCTCTTATGAGCTCTTTACTAGTTTTCAGCTCTATAAAAGCATTTAGATCAGCATGAGGAGTTTTATACAGGGAAGGATCAGCTCCATCCACCTCTGCTCCATATACAAGAGAGTGATTATCCAAACGTGACCGAACCACACAGCAATATTCTTCATTCTCCTCCACTCCTTCTGATGGGTCACATCCTATAATAAGAAAAATATCACATTAAAAATACAAAGAATGGTAAAACTGGAGCATCTCTACAACATTTAAAATGTGCCAAAGTGGTTCTTGAGGCAGCATGGGAGAAGTCAAGTAAAAAGTTGGATTATTTTATTCATGGGGAAGAGCAATATTTTGTCCTGTTAAAGATGCATCTCTGTCATGTAAACAAACAACTTCCTTAAGATTGCTCAAGTCCAATCCTGCTTTTACGGTAGAGTAAAAGTGTTTCATGGTCAACTGCACTTTTTCTTCCACATACCCTTTGAGATGCAATTACCAAACTTTAGTCATTATAAACACAGTCAAAACTCAAGTATAGTACTGGTAATTATTGAATAACTACAAGAAACAATATGTAAGAAAGCAACGTTTGACAAACTCCAGTTACCTTGCTATCAAAATTGATAGGAATTGAAAAATAGGCTTAGATGGGGCATTGTGAGATATGTGCACACATACTGATTCACATTATTCGCTCTTTGTAGTTGGCCACTAAACCACAGTTTTGGGGTTTATCAAGATAAACTACCTTTAATATACTCCATGATGAGAGATTGTATTCATCATTTTCAAATACTAAATTTAGTGTGTAGCAGGAATTCACTACAAAAACCGAGCCTAATTAAAGATTAATGAGAAACAAGATATGACATGCTGTTTATCTGGAGTTTATCTGGAGAGAGTCCGGAGTCAAGCCCCAGGCCGGGCTGTGATCAGGCCTCTGAGGTCAGTGTCCAGGATGCGACCCACACAGTGACTAACAACCCAGGGACCCTTTACTGATGGGGAACATAGACAACGGGAAAGAACACGTCCATGTTTCTACTTGGGTGGGAATCGAACCCAGCCCTCACGTGTGAAGCGAGACGTTACCACAGGCCACAAGCTTGTTGGTTTTTTATTTTATAATCAAACTAAGTATATGTGGAGTCAAAACTTATCTATGGAGGCAAAGAAGGGAATGTATGAAAGTATAGTAACCACATCTATATGGATTGAGCTGGTGGTAAATGCAGCAGCGAGGAGACGTTGGAGCGGGAATGTCTGTCTAAGGGCAATGTGTGTGTAAATATTATGCAGAAAATTCGGAGTGTGGAATTAGGAAAGGTGTGAGTTAATAAAGCATTAGCGAGGCAGAAGAGGGTTGTGAGGTGGTTTGGTCATTTAGAGAGAATGGATCAAGTAGATGACATGGAAAGCATATAAACTATGGGAAGAAAGAGGGTGGTCGTCTCGAAGGTGGAAAGAGGGGTAAAGGAGGTTTTGTGGTGAGGGGCTTGATTCCGCAAGCGTGCATGAGCTGTTAGATAGAGTGAATGGAGACGAATGAACTTGGGACCTGACGATCTTTGGAGTGTGCAGGGTAAAATTTAGTGAAGGATTCAGGGAAACCGTTATTTTCTATGTCGGACTTGAGTCCTGGAAATGGGAGTACAATGCCTGCACTTAAGGAGGGTTGGATATTGGCAGTTTGGAGGATATGTTGTGTATCTCTTAGTATATGCTTCTAAAACTGTTGTATTCTGAGCACCTCTGCAAAGGTGATAATTGTGAGTGTGGTGAAAGTGTTGAATGATGATGAAGTATTTTTTGAGATTTTCTTTTTTTTTTGGGTCACCCTGCCTCGGTGGGAGACGAGACTTGTTGAAAAAAAAAAAAAAAAAAAAAAACTAAATGCTAAACCCACAAGGTCATACAGTGCTGAATATGCTGTGGAGTGTGAACAATGTAATTCTACAAAGAATCAGAAAGCAGGTACTGAACTTGGGTGGGAGTATAATCCTGCACTTGAAATGGCAAGGGGACCTACATTTTTGGGGCCTTAAAATGGCAACCCCTTCTCATATAGTAGACCCAAAATTTTTAAGCAATATGGGGCCCCTCTGGGATTAGGAGCCCTGATACTTAAGATTCATTAGTTTCATAGTAGATCTGCTCCTGAGGATGGGTGGTAATGTTGCAGTTCGGAAGATCGTTGGAATAGTTGTGTCTGCACTCTTCTAGCCAATAAAAGCTAATGAATGAGTGATGGAATAGGTCCTTCATGACCAAACCACCTCAACAACCCCTCTTCAGCCCTCTGAATATTACTTTTATTAACTTCATGCTTACTCCTAATTTCTACACTACGAATTCTCTGTATAATATTTACACTAAACATTGCCCTTACACACATTATTTCCACTGCCTCCAGCCTCCTCCTTGCTGCAGCATTTACAACCCATGCTTCACACCCTTCTTTTTATTTTTAGTAAGCTATATGGGAAAAGGGGTTACTAGCCCTTGCTCCTGGCATTTAGTTGACTTTTACAACATGCATGGCTTATGGAGGAAAGATTCTTATTCCACTTCCCCATGGATATGAAACGAAAATAATAAGAACAAGAACTATTAAGAAAAAATAAAAGAAAACTCAGATCAGTATGTATACATAAACGTGTACTACATGCATGTGTAGTGTGACCTAAGTGTAAGTAATAGTAGCAAGATAAACCTGTTATCTTGCTAGTTATTAGACAGAAAAAAAGACACCAGCACTCCTACCATTATGTAGTGGGTTTCTGTCTTACACTAATTTGACAGGAGTACCTCCCTGGGTGTTTGCTGTCTACCAACCTACCACTACTAAAATATACTAATTTAAATCTTTCAACAAACCGAAGACAGGGTGGCCCAAAAAGAAAAACAAGAGTTTCTCTTTTTAAATTTAGTAATTTATAAAGCAGAAGGGATTACTAGCCCCTTGTTCCCACCATTTTAGTCGCCTCTTATGACATGCATGGCTTATGGAGGAAGAATTCTGTTCCACTTCCCCATGGGGATAAGAGTAAATAAACATGAACAAGTAAGAAAATAGAAGAAAACCCAGAGGGGTGTGTATATACAGGCTTGTACATGTATGTGTAGTGTGACCTAAGTTTAGGTAGAAGTAGCAAGACGTACCTGAAATCTTGCATGTTTATGAGACAGAGAACAGATACCAGCAATCCTACCAGCATTTAAAACAATTACAGCCTTCTGTTTTACACTCACTTGGCAGGATGGTAGTACCTCCCTGGGTGGTTGCTGTCTACCAACCTACTACATAGGACTAATATAAACAAATAATACATGCATCGAAAGGCATGATTAGGGAACATTCCTAGGTTTATCTTCTTTCTTTCAACACACCGGTCGTATCCCACCAAGGCAGGGTGGCCCAAAAAGAAAAACAAAAGTTTCTCTTTTAAATTTAGTAATTTATACGGGAGAAGGGGTTACTAGCACCTTGCTCCCAGCATTTTAGTCACCACTTACAACATGCATGGCTTACGAGGAAGAATCTGTTCCACTTCCCCATGGAGATAAGAGGAAATAAACAAGAACAAGAACTAGAAAGAAAATAGAAGAATACCCAGAGGGGTGTGTATATATATGCTTGTACATGTATGTGTAGTGTGACCTAAGTGCAAGTAGAAGTAGCAAGACATACCTGAAATCTTGCATGTTTATGAGACAGACAAAAGACACCAGCAATCCTGCCATCATGTAAAACAATTACAGGTTTTCGTTGTACACTCACTTGGCAGGACGGTAGTACCTCCCTGGGCGGTTGCTGTTTACCAACCTACTACCTGGGTAGGTTATTTATGAGGGTATCAATGATTTAGATAAAGAAAAATTGGATATCAATTGGGGAGGAGGAGTACGGAAGAAGTGAATGTTTTCAGATAATTGGGAGTTGACGTGTCTGTGGATGGATTTATGAAGGATGAGGTTAATCATAGAATTGACGAGGGAAAAAAGGTGAGTTGTGCGTTGAGGTATATGTGGAGACAAAAAATGTTATCTATGGAGGCAAAGAAGGGAATGTATAAAAGTATAGTAGTACCAACACTCTTATATGGGTGTGAAGCTTGGGTTGTGAATGCAGCAGCGAGGAGGCGTTTGGAGGCAGTGGAGATGTCCTGTCTAAGGACAATGTGTGGTGTAAATATTATGCAGAAAATTTGGAGTGTGGAAATTAGAAGGTGTGGAGTTAATAAAAGTATTAGTCAGAGGGCTGAAGAGGGGTTGTTGAGGTGGTTTTGTCATTTAGAGAGAATGGATCAAAGTAGAATGACATGGAGAGCGTTTAAATCTGTAGGGGAAGGAAGGCGGGGTAGGGGTTGTCCTCGAAAAGGTTGGAAGGAAGGGGTAAGGGAGGTTTTGTGGGCGAGGGGCTTGGACTTCCAGCAGGAATGCGTGAGAGTGTTCAATGGGAGTGAATGGAGACGAATGGTATTTGGGACCTGACGATCTGTTGGAGTGTGAGTAGGGTAATATTTAATGAAGGGATTCAGGGAAACCGGTTATTTTTATACAGCTGGACTTGAGTCCTGGGAATGGGAATTACAATGCCTGCACTCTAAAGGAGGGGTTCGGGATATTGGCAGTTTGGAGGGACATGTTGTGTATCTTCATACGTATATGCTTTTAAACCGTTGTGTTCTGAGCACCTCTGCAAAAACAGTGATTATGTGTGAGTGAGGTAAAAGTGTTGAATGATGATGAAAGTATTTTTTTTGGGGGGGGGGGGATTTTCTTTCTTTTTTGGGTCACCCTGCCTTGGTGGGAGACGGCCGACTTGTTGAAAAAAAAAAAAAAATCTGCCGATTCCCACCAAGGCAGGGTGGGCAGAAAAAGAAAAACTTTCATCACCATTCACTCCATCACTGTCTTGCCAGAGGGGTGCTTTACACTACAGTTATAAAACTGCAACATTAACACCCCTTCTTCAGAATGCAGACACTGTACTTCCTATCTCCAGGACTCAAGTCCGGCCTGCTGGTTTCCCTGAATCCCTTCATAAATGTTACTTTGCTCACACTCCAACAGCACGTCAAGTATTAAAAACCATTTGTCTCCATTCACTCCTATCAAATACTCTCACGCACGCTTGCTGGAAGTCCAAGCCCCTTGCACACAAAACCTCCTTTACCCCCTCCCTCCAACCCTTTCTAGGCCAACCCCTACCCCGCCTTCCCTCCACTACTGATTTATACACTCTCGAAGTCATTCTGTTTTGTTCCATTCTCTCTACATATCTGAACCACCTCAACAACCCCTCCTCAGCCCTCTGGATAATAGTTTTAGTAATCCCACACCTCCTAATTTCCAAACTACGAATTCTCTGCATTATATTCACACCATACATTGCCCTCAGACATGACATCTCCACTGCTTCCAGCCTTCTCCTCGTTGCAACATTCATCATCCATGCTTCACACCCATACAAGAGTGTTGGTACAACTATACTCTCATACATTCCCCTCTTTGCTTCCATGGACAAAGTTCTTTGTCTCCACAGGCTCGTAAGTGAACCACTCACCCTTTTTCCCTCATCAATTCTATGGTTCACCTCATCCTTCATAGACCCATCTGCTGACACGTCCACTCCTAAATATCTGAATACATTCACCTCCTCCATACTCTCTCCCTCCAATCTGATATCCAATCTTTCATCACCTTATCTTTTTGTTATCCTCATAACCTTACTCTTTCCTATATTCACTTTTAATTTTCTTCTCTTACATACCCTACCAAACTCATCCCCCAATCTCTGCAACTTTTCTTCAGAATCTCCCAGAAGCAGTGTCATCAGCATAGAGCAACTGTGACAACTCCCACTTTGTGTTTGATTCTTTATCTTTTAACTCCACACCTCTTGCCAAGATCCTCGCAGTCACTTCTCTTACAACCCCATCTATAAATATATTGAACAACCACGGTGACATCACACATCCTTGTCTAAGGCCTACTTTTACTGGGAAATAATTTCCCTCTCTCCTACATATTCTAACCTGAGCCTCACTATCCTGGTAAAAACTCTTCACTGCTTTCAGTAACCTACCTCCTATGGTATATACTTGTATAACAAACTTAAATTCAACACACATTTAACTCTTTCTTCTTTTTCTTCTTTCAACAAACCAGCCATATCCCACAGAGGCAGGGTGGCCCAAAAAGAAAAACAAAAGTTTCTCCTTTTAACTTTAGTAATGTATATAGGAGAAGGGGTTATTAGCCCCTTGCTAGGCACCTCTTATGACATGCACGGCTTACAGAGGAAGAATTCTGATCCACTTCCCCATGGAGATAAGAGGAAATAAACCAGAACAAGAACTAGTAAGAAAATAGAAGAAAACACAGAGGGGTGTGTACATATATGCTTGTACATGCAAGTGTAGGGAGCAAGGGGCTAGTAACCTCTTCTCCTGTATATATTACTAAATGTAAAAGGAGAAACTTTCGTTTTTCCTTTTGGGCCACCCCGCCTCGGTGGGATACGGCCGGTGTGTTGAAAGAAGAAGAAGACATGCAAGTGTAGTGTGACTTAAGTGTAAGTAGAAGTAGTAAGACTTACCTGAAATCTTGCATGTTTATGAGACAGAGAAAAGATACCAGCAATCCTACAATCATTTTACACTCACTTGGCAGGATGGTAGTACCTCCCTGGGCAGTTGCTGTCTACCAACCTACTACCTACTCACATCTAACTCATGTCTAAGAAAATATCCAAACAATGGGCATACTTTCAAAACAAGCTACTATGTGCCACAAACATTGTTAACCTCATCTCACTAATAGTATTTGCACATGGGGATCTACAACAGCAAATCACTTTAAACCTTCATTACTCAAATTGGCTGCTAGAATAACCACTCAATCAAGTTGGAGACAATACTCATCCTGTCTCCTATTTAAGTTTAAATCTATTCAACATGCAAAATATCCACACTCACTATAGTATTTTTTTTTATTTATTTTTTTTATTATCACACTGGCCGATTCCCACCAAGGCAGGGTGGCCCGAAAAAGAAAAACTTTCACCATCATTCACTCCATCACTGTCTTGCCAGAAGGGTGCTTTACACTACAGTTTTTAAACTGCAACATTAACACCCCTCCTTCAGAGTGCAGGCACTGTACTTCCCATCTCCAGGACTCAAGTCCAGCCTGCCGGTTTCCCTGAATCCCTTCATAAATGTTACTTTGCTCACACTCCAACAGCACGTCAAGTATTAAAAACCATTTGTCTCCATTCACTCCTATCAAACACGCTCACGCATGCCTGCTGGAAGTCCAAGCCCCTCGCACACAAAACCTCCTTTACCCCCTCCCTCCACACCTTTCCTAGGCCGACCCCTACCCCGCCTTCCTCCACTACAGACTGATACACTCTTGAAGTCATTCTGTTTCGCTCCATTCTCTCTACATGTCCGAACCACCTCAACAACCCTTCCTCAGCCCTCTGGACAACAGTTTTGGTAATCCCGCACCTCCTCCTAACTTCCAAACTACGAATTCTCTGCATTATATTCACACCACACATTGCCCTCAGACATGACATCTCCACTGCCTCCAGCCTTCTCCTCGCTGCAACATTCATCACCCATGCTTCACACCCATATAAGAGCATTGGTAAAACTATATACTCTCATATACTCTCACTATATTACATATCATATATTGTATACAGAACACTCAATTCAAACACTGACCCAATGTTTAAACCTTTTCTGAAGAGCTGCAACATGACACAGACAAGACATGAGGCATTGCTGACATACAATGTGACCAAAACTATGCAAGTAAAGGCCCTAAAATAAGGAACTCACTACATGAAGATGCAATCTAAACCTTACATGGAATTTTTTAATTTTAAGTTCTGATGATACAGATTTTTTGATTGTCTGCATAATCAGTGGCTTTCCAATTCGTAGATTCTACTACATATTACTTTTTATTTGTAACTATTCTAAGCTTTTTATTTTTTAATGAAACTTCATTTTTATTTTCATTTTCCAGAGACAGCAATTGGGAGCGTGGGTAGTTGTTTACACAAAGGATGAGAGAAAGCCTCTCATAGGCTTACTGCCAAGTGGGAGTAGGAAATATCCTGTGGTGTGTTCAAACAGGATATTTATCAAGTTCAATCCTGGACAAAATATTTCAATAAAGATATACTTGCAAAAAGTGCATTTCTCACTTACTTTTCAATAACTGAAGTACAAATACTCTATAAAAATTTGCATCTTTTTTGACAAATCACAACTCAGCAAAAGAAGTCAAACATTAAAATAAAATGGAACTCTGGAGCTTTTCAAAGCTGAATGACTTGGAAAAGGCTTATGGTGAATTAACTTGCCTCTCTTGAATAAATCTTAATGCTTTCAATAGTTCTCAGTTTTGAAACTACCAGTAATTTAAACTTTCTCTAAAAATCCTTAAGGTCAAGAAAGATTGCCAAGCTTTGCCCTTCTATCAGATGAGAAAGAATTATTGCAAAATCTTCAGAGCAAACCAGAATTTCACAGTGAAGTTAATGATCGTTTTGCTCAAAAATTAAGAATTCCTTCATTCTTGCTTGAAATTTAAGAATTCCATTATTCTTAATATTTTAAACAGGAAAGTCCTATAAAACATACCATCTGTCATATATTGCTCAAATTTGTATCCCCAAGCTGACATTCTTTTTTGCATCACTGTCTCATTCTCTCGGTCTGTTTGTTTCTCAGGGGTGTCATAGGCACATAAATATATAGTGTTACGGAACCTGGAAAATGAAATTTGTGGTTAATACATACAAATGCCAAAGACTTTAGATAAGAATAAGAAGAATTGCAGTAGACTTTCTTGCTCATTCTAGGCAGATTGTACAGTAGGACCCCCATATCCACAGGGGATCCATTCCAAGGACCTGCCATAGCTACCGAAACCATGGATAATAGTGAACCCTATTTATATAAGTCTTTCGTTTATATGCATACCTATTATAAATTTTAATTGATAAATTAAGCACAATAAGTGGAGAATTATCACTTTTTCATTGATGGGAAGCACTTCACAGCTTTTCTTAGGCTTTGAAGAATTTCCACCATCTTGCACTTTGAGGCCATTATTAAGCAAAATTAAGGTTATTTTCAAGCCAGGGTAATCAGTGAATAACTGAAACTGCAGATACTGTACCTGCAGATATGGGGGTCCTCCTGTACTCACCCCCAACAATTACAAAAGAATCGAGATGAAAAAATACCAGTGAAAATGGGAAATAAAACCTGAGCGCTTTCATGTGCTTACACACACTTTCATGTTTGTAAGCACATGAAAGCGATCAGGTTTTATTTCCTATTTTCACTGTGGTATTTTTTCATATTTGCAATCACACATTTTATTGCATTTTCTTCCATAAGAATTGAAATGTTTGGTAGAGATTTGTTAAGAACTGTAGATATTATTTAGGGTATATTAGTCGACAGTTATCCACGTCTAGTACATGTTATTAGTTGGTTGAGGGAAAAGACAGTTAGCTGTGGATGGTAGAGACTTAGTGTGATTCACCCACCCTCCCTCCCAATGCCATAATATAAAACAGTGGACCCCCGGTTAACGATATTTTTTCACTCCAGAAGTATGTTCAGGTGCCAGTACTGACCGAATTTGTTCCCATAAGAAATATTGTGAAGTAGATTAGTCCATTTCAGACCCCCAAACATACACGTACAAACGCACTTACATAAATACACTTACATAATTGGTCACATTCGGAGGTAATCGTTATGCGGGGGTCCACTGTACTGGTTAGTCTTGAGGAACGGAAAAGTGGCCACACTTAGGTACTTTTCAATTATTTTTGAAGGAGCTAGAGCCAGGGAACTTTTAGACACTAATACAGTCTCTCCTCACTTAATGATAGAGTTCCATTTCTAAGAGTACGTCAGTAAACGTACTGGTCGTTAAGCGAGGAGCATCTACTATACTGGAAATGGGCTTGTGTCACCCATTGTTAGATATTGCTTTAATGTCACCTTTGCACCATTTATAACATTTTAAGTATATTTTTAAATGTTTATACAGTAGTGTATTGTATAAACATCTCAACTCTAATATACATTACTTAGGAATGCATACTGGTTAGAGAGCAGGTCGAAAATCCGAGTGGTCATTAAACAAGTACATTGACAAGCAATGAGAGACTATTATTATTGGCTGTCCTGTATATACAGTAGGCATAGTAGTAAGTATGGATGTTTTGTAAATATGAGCTTGAATCGTGAGGCTGTGTGCTGCCTAAAATCTGACTGCTGAATTACTATAGGTTTCCAATAATTTGCTGCTGTAGATCCAATGTACATATACTATAAGGGAGGTAAGGATTAGAGTTGTACAGTAATACTGTTTGGGGTACACATAGTAATGCGTTTCTGAAGGAATGCCCACTATTTTAGGAATTTTCCAGGATATGTGCTGGATGCCAGTGCTATAATGATGTTTATTTTTTTTTATTATCACACTGGCCGATTCCCACCAAGGCAGGGTGGCCCGAAAAAGAAAAACTTTCACCATCATTCACTCCATCACTGTCTTGCCAGAAGGGTGCTTTACACTACAGTTTTTAAACTGCAACATTAACACCCCTCCTTCAGAGTGCAGGCACTGTACTTCCCATCTCCAGGACTCAAGTCCTGGCCTGCCGGTTTCCCTGAATCCCTTCATAAATATTACGTGGTATATGTGCATTGGATCTACAAGAGCAAATCATTTAAAACCTATACTAATTCAGCAGTCTTTATATATTTTATATTGTGAGCTCATTGGTTGTTATAGCAGAAAAATTCAGAGATGTTACTATCAAGTTATTACATGGTACATTTGTCCTTCATTTCAGAAGCATTAAACTCCTTTAAAATTAAGATACTGATACAGTACAAGAGTACATACTTTGTTGCACATACAATCCAGCCTTCATTTTCATATGGAGTGCAGAGTAGCTGTGTCAGCAGCCCCCTAAAGCAGATGAAATCTGTTGAAAGACTTAGAGTACGAATATAAATGTTATTACATTTTAATTATACAAAAATGTACAACATTCATTTTGACAATATAGGAATAAATTTTATTGTAAGGACTGGCAATGGAATTTACTGTCTCCACAGTGTTGTGGAGACAATAAATTCTATTGTGGATTGGGGTAGGACCACACTGATCCACTCCAGTTGTCCCAGTACTATGCCTTTTCATTTTTAGTCAGTTTTACTGGTTAAGAGCCATTATCCTACCTCAGATCATTTCAAAGCCCAGCGCTATCTGAGATATACTATCACCCTCAGGATGTGACCCACACCATTCAACTAACAACCAGGTACCTACTTATTACTAGAACATGAGTAGCAGGTGTAAGGAAACATGCCCAACATGTTCACCCATGTCAGGGGATCGAACCATGGACACTCAGCTTGTAAGCTGAGTGCATTGCTAACCAAGCCACAAGTCACCCTACCTAGGTAATAATAAATTCTTGTGAAGATCAACTATAACAAGACTATCACAGACTAACATTCATTTCAAAAACATCAAAATAAAGTTAATGTAAATTCTGAGTTAAAATTTTTTAATATGGATATCCAATACTGATTGCATTTGTACTAAGATTCAAATTCAAAATCAAATTTATATTTTTTTTATGCAGCACACAGATAATATAGTTTACAAGTAATAAAATATTTTTAGTTACAAGAAAAAACAAAAACAAAAGCCACTAGCATGCAGTGCATTTAGGGCAAACTAATCTTAGTGCTTAAAGACTATTCAAGAACTAGACAGATTATATATACATAATAGGATTTGGAGTATGGAAGAAGTGAATGTTTTCAGATACTTGGGAGTTGACGTGTCGGCGGATGGATTTATGAAGGATGAGGTTAATCATAGAATTGATGAGGGAAAAAAGGTGAGTGGTGCATTGAGGTATATGTGGAGTCAAAAAACGTTATATATGGAGGCAAAGAAGGGAATGTATGAAAGTATAGTAGTACCAACACTCTTATATGGATGTGAAGCTTGGGTGGTAAATGCAGCAGCGAGGAGATGGTTGGAGGCAGTGGAGATGTCCTGTCTAAGGGCAATGTGTGGTGTAAATATTATGCAGAAAATTCGGAGTGTGGAAATTAGGAGAAGGTGTGGAGTTAATAAAAGCATTAGTCAGAGGGCAGAAGAGGGGTTGTTGAGGTGGTCTGGTCATTTAGAGAGAATGGATCAAAGTAGAATGACATGGAAAGCATATAAATCTATAGGGGAAGGAAAGAGGGGTAGGGGTCGTCCTCGAAAGGGTTGGAAAGAGGGGGTAAAGGAGGTTTTGTGGGCGAGGGGCTTGGACTTCCAGCAAGCGTGCATGAGCGTGTTAGATAGGAGTGAATGGAGACGAATGATACTTGGGACCTGACGATCTGTTGGAGTGTGAGCAGGGTAATATTTAGTGAAGGGATTCAGGGAAACCGGTTATTTTCTTACAGTCGGACTTGAGTCCTGGAAATGGGAAGTACAATGCCTGCACTTTAAAGGAGGGGTTTGGGATATTGGCAGTTTGGAGGGGTATGTTGTGTATCTTTATACGAATATGCTTCTAAACTGTTGTATTCTGAACACCTCTGCAAAAGCAGTGATAATGTGTGAGTGTGGTGAAAGTGTTGAATGATGATGAAAGTATTTTCTTTTTGGGGATTTTCTTTCTTTTTTGGGTCACCCTGCCTCGGTGGGAGACGGACCAACTTGTTGAAAAAAAAAAAAAAAGGATTTCTTAAATGTACAAAAATGATAACTGAAATAGCAGTTTTAATAATGATGTAATGAAACTTTTAAAGTGAAGAAAAGCCATCAAGAGGGAATTATTTTTATTACACTTAGCACAGGAATAATACATCAAAAATCAGTACAAAGTTAATTTTTTTAAAAATACAGAAGTCCCCCCACAACTATACTTTTAACTTTCATGGAAATACAGTTTCAAAAAATAGAAAATTCATTTTAAAGCTTACCATTTTAGTGGTTTGCCAGTAGACTCTCTCGTGTGAAACTTGAAGGAGTTGAGGAGAATCCACTCTAACAATCGGTCAAGTTTCTCATTTTTAGTTTCTTCAAACAATTTTCGGTTTGCTTTATCCAGGGCCACATTAAGATCATAATTCACCTGATATATCATTTGGTAATAAAAATACAAAAATTAATGTTAATAACAAAAAATATAGAACAAATACATAATGCAATGATTTGTCTTTACATTTTGTAAAGAAGAAGAATTATTGTATGCATAATTATTAAGTATAATCCAGTTCTGTGTGGGGGATGCAATACTGTAATTGAAATTAGTAAATTTTATATTTATGGAGCCTGAAATAGACCGAATACATTCAGCACGCCATCCTACTGGGCCACCAAATGCAAGTTGTGGGTTGTTTTAAGCCAAAAGAGGTTAAAAAACCAATCAAATTCACCAAACTGTGTTCTATATCTGCTTTACCTTACAGTCCAGGGGTTCTTAAGCAGGGATATTCACTCCCCTTAGGGTATGGGAACCAAATAATGGGGGTATGGGACTCGATCTTTGAACAATTTAAAAAAAAACTTGTTGTTAGATGAGAATAAACTATCAGCTGTTCTGTTGCTAGCTATCCATATGTAAAGTAAAACCAAGCTATTGACATCCTTCGAAGTCATACTGGTATCTAACAGCACCGGTGAAGATGATAATGATTTCTACAGTCACTTGGGTACATTTTGAAAGGCCGTAGTTATGCAGAGCATTTCTGGCAAGTTTTAGCCTAACTTAAGACTACAAGGGCATACTGGGCAATCCACTGAGGATCTGTAATCATAAAAAGGTTAAGCACCTTTGCCTTACACTTTTTGGTGCAGTGAAATAACAATATTATCTGGCCTGACTGAGCTCAAGCAAATGCAGCAAATTAACTGAAATAGTGTTCATTTCTTTATTAATGTGAAAGCCCAGGTGTCTGGTGTCTTCCTGGTATCCACCTAAAGAAAGTGACTCTCAGGCAACTTCTTCCTTGGTATAAATAAAAAGCTTGGAAGGAGGAAAGTTTACCAAATAATTCCATTTAGTTGAGTCAGTAAACTGGATGATTACTGTACTAAGAATATACTAAACACTGAGGTGGGTGTGATGTATCTATACTACCAGTACTGCCTAGAGAACTGGGTGCAATGTTTCTTATATACTATATGTATATGTACTGTTCAGTAGATATATACTGTATAGTATACAGTGGACCCCCGGTTAACGATATTTTTTCACTCCAGAAGTATGTTCAGGTGCCAGTACTGACCGAATTTGTTCCCATAAGGAATATTGTGAAGTAGATTAGGCCATTTCAGAACCCCAAACATACACGTACAAACGCACTTACATAAATACACTTACATAATTGGTCGCATTCGGAGGTGATCGTTATGTGGGGGTCCACTGTACATGTACTGTATGGAATACAGTCATACCCCACTTTACATCATTTCAGCCTATGTCAAATTCACCTTTACATCACTTTTCTAGAGTAAATATCAGTTCAGTGAATGTTATTATGTCCAACTTTATGTCACTCAGCATCATCACCTACATCATAATTTTTTGTGTTCATTATTCTTTAAAAAAAAAAAAGACTAAAATGTGTTTTTTAATGTTCTTTAAGGTTTAGCAATAGTCATATTCTTTCACAACTTATTACGCTACTTTTACAGTATTTGTCATCATTTTAAGGTATTATGTCCAGTTTACGTCAAAAACCGGGTTACATCATGGCTCTTGGAACCAAATAATGACCTATGGTGGGTATGATTGTATATGGACTGTACAATGTACTTTATATATATGGTACAATGTACTTTATAGATACTGTACAGTAATACTACATGTAAATCTTAATAAAGTAGAACCTTGATTTCACGAACCTCAATTTAACGGCTTTTGGATTTAACTGACAAAATCTATTGTCACGTCAAAGTCTTTCAAATCCATAAGTATCCTTTACTGTACAGTTTGCTAAATAAACTGATTTTGAATTTAATAGAAAAAGCCAATTATTGTTATGATTGTGAAAAATAATGTCATTTGGATTTAATGGACAATCAGCATTACTGGAAACCCTCTCCCCCACATCAGTCTGTTAAAATAGGGTTTCACTGAAAGTTCAAAGTGTGTATTTGATGTAATTTATATCTGAAAATTATTCTGTTTTTTAGTGCAAAGTTTATATCCAGTAAAAAAAAAAAAAAACGTATTCTATGTGCCGAGACTTAATAACCAATGTCTGGTTCTTAAGTAGTCTTTAAGCATCAGGATTAGTCTGCCTGAAATGCACTGCATGTTAGTGGCTTTCGTTTGTGCCAATCAATATTTTATTACATAACAAAGCTGAGAGTCAGAGTGTGGATGGCATTTTGTAGGACAATACTACAGCCTCTCCTCACTTAGTGACGTTCTCATTTACTGATGACTCGGACTTAAGTTGAGCTCTCTGACCAGTATGCATACCTAAATAATGTATATTAGAGATGATTTCCTCTATTCTATTTATTACAATATATAGTATACTACTGTATAAACATTTAAAAATATACCAGAAATGTTATAAATGGTGCAAGGTGACATTAAAACAATATCAAAGATGGTGCCACAAACCTACTACCATTATAGTATGTTCCTCACTTAGTGATGAATTTGTTTACTGACGTGGTCTTAGGAGCGGAACTCTGTCGTTAAGTGAGAAGAGGCTGTATATGTATACTATATAAATTCGCGGTAAATGCTAAACCTGTCATACAGCACACCTGAGGAATGGGAGGCAATCAGGTTTGATCCAAGGAAAGGAAGGGTAGTTCCAATTCCTTTGGTCACAAGCCCTCCACTAGCATCATGGCATCCCCATGAAAAGAGAGCATTGGTGCTACTAAACAATAGCACTCCAAACAGCAATCACTGAGACTGCAGATGTATATAAAATCTACATAAAATTTGAATGAAATATTTTTTTTTAATACATTGGCTGTCTCTCACCGAGGTTGGGTAACCTGAAAAAGAAATGCTTTTACCATCATTCACACTATCACTGTCTCGCCAGAGGTGTGCAGATACAACAGAAAATACATAAAAAGCTAATTTAACGGTGGCAAAAAATATTAGCCAAAGCATATCTTTGCCCTCCTGCTTCTTAGTGAGAGAAAATGTTTTTGGTATTTTAACTGCTGCAGCAACTACCACAGACCTACAACTACTACTATTCATAAAAGAAAATAATATGTATCAAACATTTTTACTCATTTTTCATTTCACTGTATTATACAGTAGGGCGGGTGGGGCGCGGTGACCGTATCAGAAAGTTATGTGGGGGGAGCTGTATAGCGAGTTTTAGTCATAATTAGAGGAACACTAAGGCGAAATGGCGTAAAACAGGGCCCTACTGTATACTCTTTTGTATTTTTTACAATATCAAGAAAATATATAAAAAATGCCCATCAGAAGGATATTAGGTTTCTCCATTGTGAATGAAGTAGCCAAAAATTCACTTATAATGCTATGACATACCTTCTTGAATATCTGCCATTTAATGCTTATATAATGAAGGTTTCTGCTGTCATGACAGAACTGCCGTTTTGCATTTAAGCTAAAGTCACCAATAAACATGGGTCTCCTCAACACAGCTGCAGAAAAATTGTACTTGCTACGAGGATGAACCTCAAAATAGGGTAGACTGCAATTCTCTTCTTTGTTTAATTTCCTTTTTAATCTGTGGAATAGAATTTTTGTTTACATTATTTTTTAACAGAAATTCAGAGTACAGTACAGGTGATCCTCAACATACAATGGTTTGATTTACAATATTCTGACTTTATGTTGATGCAAAAGAAATTATTACTTTGGAGATGAAACTTAAGATAATTACTCAGCATGAAAGCAGCAAGTCTGTAACTTGTTTTCATTTATTTACTTTTCAATACTAGTATTTAGTTACAGTAATTTTTTATTTATTCAGTGACAGGAGTTATTTATTTAGTTATTTATTTAGCATATCATATTCATATTCATCTTATGATGGGTTTGTTGGAACCTAAGCTCATCATAAAGCATGGAGCACCTCTACAATAAAGTACAGTATTTAAATAAATACTTTCCAGTATCTAACTGTTAGTCTTTACTAGAGCAATATAAGCTACTCAAGGTATAAACAATTTACATTAAGAAAGCAAACTGATTACTTATGTGTTATTGGTTTCAATAATAATATAATATCTTTGTTTCTGTAGGGTAGTTAGTAGATGGGGAGCTGGAGGTATTGGGTAGATGGCAGGAATATTTTGAGGAACTTTTAAGTGTTGATGAAGAAAAGGAGGCAGTAATTTAACACACTGGCCAGGGAGGTATAACATCTTTTAGGAGTGAAAAAGAGCAAGATGAAAGTGTGGGGGAGGTGCGTTAGACATTACATTGAAAGTAAGGAGGTAAAGCAGCTGGATTTGGCGGGATCACGACAGAAATGTTAAAAGCAGGGGGAGATATAGTGTTGGAGTGGTTGGTAGTTTTATTTAACAAATGCATGAAAGAGGGGAAGGTAACTAGGGATTGAGAGAGAGAGTGTATAGTTCCTTTATATAAAGGGAAGGAGGACAAAAGACATTGTAAAAATTATAGGGGAATAAGTTTACTGAGGATACCAGGTAAAGTGTACGGTAGGATTATTATTGAAATAATTATACATAAGACAGAGAGCAAGTATTTAGATAAAGGTAGGGAAGTTTTCATTGCATTTATGGATTTAGAAAAGGCATATGATAGAGTGGATAGGGGAGCAATGTGGCAGATGTTGCAAGTATGTATATGGAATAGGTGGTAAGTTACTAAATGCGGTAAAGAGTTTTTATGAGGATAGTGAGGCTCAGGTTAGGGTGTGTGGAAGAGAGGGAGACTACTTTCCAGTAAAAGTAGGTCTTAGACAAGGATGTGTAATGTCACCATGGTTGTTTAATATATTTATAGATGGGGTTGTAAAAGAAGTAAATGCTAGGGTGTTCGGGAGAGGGGTGGGATTGAATTATGGGGAATCAAATACAAAATGGGAGTTAACACAGTTACTTTTTGCTGATGATACTGGTGGCCTGGTGGCTAAAGCTCCCGCTTCACACTCGGAGGGCCTGGGTTCGATTCCTGGCAGGTTGGAAACATTTCGACACGTTTCCTTACACCTGTTGTCCTGTTCACCTAGCAGCAAATAGGTACCTGGGTGTTAGTCGACTGGTGTGGGTCGCATCCTGGGGGACAAGATTGAGGACCCCATTAGAAATAAGTTAGACAGTCCTCGATGACGCACTGACTTTCTTGGGTTATCCTGGGTGGCTAACCCTTCGGGGTTAAAAATCCGAATGAAATCTTATCTTATCTTATCTTATGGGAGATTCTAAAGAGAAGTTGCAAAGATTAGTGGACAAATTTGGGAAGATGTATAAAGGTAGAAATCTGAAAGCGAACATAGATAAGAGTAAGGTGATGAGGGTATCAAATGATTTAGATAAAGAAAAATTGGATATCACATTGGAGAGAGGGAGTATGGAAGAAGTGAATGTTTTCAGATAATTAGGAGCTCACTTTTCAGTGGATGGGTTTACGAAGGATGAGGTTAACCATAGAATTGATGAAAGAAAAAAGGCGAGTGGTGCATTGAGGTATATGTGGAGACAAAAAACGTTATCCATGGAGGCAAAGAAGGGAATGTACGAGAGTATAGTAGTACCAACACTCTTGTATGGGTGTGAAGCTTGGGTTGTGAATGCAGCAGCGAGGAGGCAGTTGGAGGCAGTGGAGATGTCCTGTCTAAGGGCAATGTGTGGCGTAAATATTATGTAGAAAATTCGGAGTGTGGAAATTAGGAGGTGTGGAGTTAATAAAAGTATTAGTCAGAGGGCTGAAGATGAGTTGTTGAGGTGGTTTGGTCATTTAGAGAGAATGGACTTGGAGAGCGTATAAATCTGTAAGGGAAGGAAGGAGGGGTAGGGGGCATCCTCGAAAAGGTTGGAGGGCGTGGGTAAAGGAGGTTTTGTGAGTGAGGGGCTTGGACTTCTAGCAAGCGTGTGTGTGTGTTAGGAGTAAATGTAGACGAATGGTTTTTGGGACCTGACGAGCATTTGGAGTGTGAGCAGGGTAATATTTAGTGAAGGGACTTAGGGAAACCAGTTAGCAGGACTTGAGTCCTGGAAATGGGTAGTACTGGTCGACTGGTGTGAGTCGCATCCTGGGGGACAAGATTGAGGACCACAATGGAAATAAGTCAGACAGTCCTCAATGACACACTGACTTTCTTGGATTATCTTGGGTGGCTAACCCTTCAGGGTTAAAAATCCGAAGGAAATCTTATCTTATTTCATCTTGTCTGCCCGAAATACCTCGGCATGATAGTGGCTTTCTATCAATCAAATCCCCTCAAGAAAGGTTCCTTGATGTTGGTGAGGGGCTCTTGATTTAGGGAATTGGATCTGTGCTCCAGTTCCCCGAATTAAGCCTGAATACCTTCCACATCCCCCCCCAGGCGCTGTATAATCCTCCGGGTTTAGCGCTTCCCCCTTGATTATAATAATAATAATATCAATCAAATTATGAAATGCAAACACATTGTAACCTTTGTAAAGAAGGAAATCAGGTTTGTTCCGAGGAAACCGGCCGGTCAAACCCCACTGGATCAAGAGCATCTCAGCAGCATCAAGGTATCACTCTTTGAAGGTATTTAATGGCTATAACTTAAGATTTGACTTACGAAGCCATGTTGTTGTTGGGTTTACAGGACCACTGATAACTTGCACCGTATTGAACCCGGCTTGATGATGATGATGATGATGATGATGATGATGATGATGATGATGATGATTGATGATTGATGATTGATGATTGATGATGATGATGATGATGATGATGATGATGATGATGATTGATGATTGATGATTGATGATTGATGATGATGATGATGATGATTGATGATTGATGATGATGATGATGATGATTGATGATGATGATTGATGATGATAATGATTGATGATAATAATAATGATGAATGATGATGATGATGATGATGATGATGATGATGATGATGATGATTGATGATGATGATTAATGATGATAATGATTGATGATAATAATAATGATGAATGATGATGATGATTGATGATAATGATGATTGATGATGATGATTGATGATAATAATAATGATGATTGATGATGATGATTGATGATAATGATGATTGATGATGATGATTGATGACTGATGATGATGATAATATGATGATATGATGGATTATATGATGGATGATTATATGATGGATGATTATATGATGGATGATTATATGATGGATGATTATATGATGGATGATTATATGATGGATAATTTGAATGATGATATGATTAATATTGTGATGGATGATGATGACAATACTTTATTTCTGCTTGATACAATGTACAGAGGTGAATGAAATTTGGATGTACATGCAAAAAGCCCCTTAAAAATAATAATAATAATAATAATAATAATAATAATAATAATAATAATAATAATAATAATAATAATAATAATAATAATAATAATATATTTACTACAAGTACATGTACAAGGTATACAGACCATAGCTGACATCAGTGACATAATACTATATAGAAAGTCCCTTGTTATGATGAGCATTATTATTATAATCAAGGGGGAAGCGCTAAACCCGGAGGATTATACAGCGCCTGGGGGGGGGATGTGGAAGGCATTCAGGCTTAATTCGGGGAACTGGAGCACAGATCCAATTCCCTAAATCAAGAGCCCCTCACCAACATCAAGGAACCTTCCTTGAGGGGTTGTTATGCTGAGCATTTCCCGCAAATTAGGTCAGTTTTTTTTTCCCTCAGGATGCGACCTACACCAGTCCACTAACACCCAGGTACCTATTTTACTGATGGGTGAACATAGACAACCGGTGTAAGGAAACAGGTCCAGTGTTTCCACCCCTTCGCCGGGAATCGAACCGGACCCTCACCGTGTGAAACGAGAGCTTTTTGCCACCAGGCCACGGGCCACCAAACACAACGCATTTCGGGCAGACTTAAAACTAACTTTAGATTAACAAGACACGGAGAAAAATGTTGACCAAAGCTGGGCGATGAAAAGGAACAAGAGTTCCTTTGTAAATATAGATTATTATTATTATTATTATAATCAAAAAGAAGCGCTAAGCCACAAGGGCTATACAGCTGTAAATATAGAAACTTGGAGTTTCCACTTAGATCCGGTGGACCCCCTTACCAAGCCCCAGGAGAGACGCCCACACCCTCACCAAAGACTTATCCATAGAACGGACAAATGGAGCCGGCTAAAAGTAAGCCGATAACCAGGTGCCCCATGCCATGTGCCCGACGAGCAAAATAGATGAGGACAAGCGCCCCAGAGGACGGGGAAAATTTGTAAAAATTTGGGATACTTTTCAGAACCCAACATAGGATGGTAAGAGTGGGACAGGGGGAGCAGGGGCACTGCGTGGTTTCCATCCAATTGGTCTTAGATGATGATAGAACTGATAAATGGCAAAGCTGGTTTTTCCCAGAGGGATAGATTAAAAATCTGGCTTGTATAGCGTTTGAGAACAAAAATACGAAAAGAATTAAAATTTGAATTTTATTGACTTAAGACTCAGGGAGTGATACAAGTCGCCCATCTATAAATTATTCCATCATGCAAGGAACCAATGCCGGGTGATCCAAAAAGTAAGAAACCTTGGATGTCATACCCCCCGGGCTCTGGCTGGGTTACAAGTATCTTTGGCAGGTTAAATCACCCCCACCAGATGTAGCCAAACGGGGGCTATGGGGGGTAAAGCCCCCCGCTTCAAAAGGGGGGGGCCCGGGTTCGTTTCCCGGGAGGGTGGAAACATTTCACAGTTTCCTTACACCTTTTGTCCTGTTCCCCTTTGCAGAAAAAAAGGGTCCCCGGGGTGTTATCGATGGTGTGGGTCCCCATCCGGGGGACAAGATTAAGGACCCCGGAAAATAAGTTAAACAGCCTCGATGACGCACTGACTTCTTGGGTTATCCTGGGGGGCTCCCCTCCGGGGTTAAAATCCGAAACGAAATTTCCATCTTTCTATGGATATTGTACCCTTTCGTCATTATGTAGTGGAGTGCGTCACCCCCTCATCATTAGTACTGGAGAGCGTCACCCCCTGTGTCATTATGTAGGGAGTGCGTCATTTTGTACGGGGAGTGCATCACACCCGGGCGTCATTATGTAGGATTTTATTTTTATTATAATCAAAAAAAAGCGCTAAGCCACAAGGATATACAGCGCTGCAGGGCGAAGGAAGCGGGGGCATCGGCGGCAAAAAAGGGAGATGGATGAGAAAACAGGTTACGGATAACAGCGGGCAGTGGATGGTAAAAGGGGAAAAGGGGCAGAAGAGACTAAACAAAAAGGGCTGAGGGGAGCGAAAGTATATCAAGTTTGTGGGAAATCAGTCGTTGCAAGAAGTAAATGAGAGGCAGGATTAAAGGGGGGGTCCACAGAAAGAAGGGAAGGTAAAGAGAGAGTGGGAAACAAGACGACGTTGGAGGAAAATTCTCGTCTCGTTGTAGGAGGGCAGTCTAACAAAATTTTGGCTAACGATACTGGAACTTGACACTGTCAAAAGGGGGAACGGGGGCCCTCTCCTGAGTTTCCCCAGATAAAAAGTGGGGCCAATGCAAAGGGCGGGAGGATGGTCCCCCAACCCTGGGACTGATGACAAGAAGACGGCCTAACCAGTCGGTTTAATAGAATGAATTTTTGTTACCGAGCGAGTTGCCCAACGTTTTTTGCCAACGGGGTCGAAGGGGGAGTATTGCAGCAAAAAGCCCGAAAGGGGAACACTCGTAGGAAATTGGGTAGTCATATACGCTGACCGGCACAGTGTCTCCCTGTTTTGCCCTGTACGCGACATACCGGGGCCCCCCAAAAAAAAACAATATCTTTATGTTTGGTGAGATAGGCGTAGCCAAAGTTGGATACGGAGAACTGGGGGATGGATGTATAAAATTTTTCGTATGCCTGTAGAGCACAAAGGGGTTGGGAATACTACAAATGTGCACGGCATAATGCGTTTTCGAAAAAAAGTGCTGCAAAAAGGGCTCGTTAGCATAAAAATGCTAGCGAAGATAGTAAAAGCCCTCGTACGACGTGCCCGGAAACACTGCTCGAATCCACGCCGCTGAAGATTAGAGCCATCTGTTACAAGGGGGGTGGCATGAAAAATGAATGGAAGTGATCAAGAAAAAAGAGGGGAAGCCACCGGGGCAGTTGAGCTTTCGAGAAAGGGGGGAAAGAACAGACCCGAAACAGCGGGAACTTCCCCGGGGGGGTAGGGAAAAGTGAGATGCTAATGACAATAAAGGTGGTAACTAAAGGGAGACAAGGGAAAGTAGGCAAGAAAAAAGGGAGGAGAAAAAACCCGGGGGCAAACGAAAAAAGAATGTCTACTAAATGGGTGACCATTTAAAATAAAGGATTGTGTAGATCGTGAGACGTACATAGTAACAAGGCAATGGGCCACCCGGCGAAACAAGGAGGGGAAAATTTGCTTTGATGGGGCTCTCAACAGGGGAAGAGCGAAAAGCCCCAAAGGCACAAACGTAAGTTTTGGTGGGGGTAGATTAAGGCTAGGAGAGAGCAGGAGAGGCCGGGAATAAATCTGGTCACCAAATCAGTTTGATAAAACGGGGGGAAATGTAGGCGAAACAGATTCGACGATCAGCCCCCCCAGGAAAGATGGCAAGGGTTTTAAGAAGGTTAGCCCGGGTTGACAATCCCTTCAAGAGGAAAAGTGGGTTTCCAGGTTAACCGACGGTTTTAAAGAGAAAACCTAAAACCTGACTGTTCACGTTGGGGAGGGGAGCCAAGAGATAAAAATGTCGGAAAACAGACGGGGTAGTGAAAATAATTTGGGGAGTTTGGTCTTGAAAATTTAAAACCATGGGTGGGGCCCCGGGAAAAAACCGGGGCGACCCATTCTGGGGAGAAAACTGCAAAAGGTGACATTTAGCGCCCGCACAAGCAAAAGCGAAGTCATCAAATAAGGGGAGACCAAATATTTGGGTGGAAGAAAGAGGCCCAAAAAAAAATTTAGCAAGGAGAAAAAGTGTTGTGCTTAGAAACATCCTGAGGGGGCACCCTTTACTTGGACGAAGTCCGGGGAAAGAACATTATTGATCGAACCGGAAATGTCGTCAGTTAAAAGTTCTTAAGGAAAGGGGTAGATTGCTCGGAGGCTAAGGAAAGGGGCCCGGGCCCAAATATTTACCTCCAAGTTTTTTCATATGCCCCTTTCAGGGCAAAAAAAAATGGCAAAAACTGAGTGATTATTCGCAAAGGCATTCGAAATCGACCAACGTAGTAAGGGGTTAGGGAGCACCCTTACGAAAAACCATATTGCTAGCGGGAGAAATTTGTGATCTCTAAAACCATTAAACGTCGATTTACAGGGTTTCCCTCACTTTGCAAAAAGCACTTGAAGAGCGATGGGGCGTAGTGGGGGCACATGTCCGTAACCCGGTTTGCGGAAAGGGAGAAAAAATGGCAGATTCCACAGTGGGGAAGGGAAATCCTTGTGCCCAAAAAAAGATTGAAGAGGTGTAAAAGGGGCTACAAAAGGGGACCGATGTAATGTTTAACATCGAATATAAGTCATCAGGCCAGCGCCGATGAGGGAAATGAGAGCGTTGCCTCCAGTTCTTGAAGTGTAAAAGGCACTTATCGTTCTTTCCGAGGAAGAAAAATCCCAAGGGTTTCTCTCTTGGGAGACTTTTAGGAAAAAAACGGGGGCATAATGGGGCCCTCGGGAATACGGGCCCAATGTGTGCCCAAATTTTAATGGCACGTCGAGAGGGGGTTTTCTAACACACCCGTGACCCGTAGAACAGGAGCCGGGTAGGAGAGTATTTACCACCAATTTTTCCCCACTTTTTTTCCCGCTGCATCATAGAAGAAGCAGAGGTGATGGTGGAAACATGTCCGCCCAAAAGTGCGTTTTGCTTCAGGAGAAAAGGGGAGCGTCGCACGTTCTGCTTAA